TTACTACAATTGGTTATCTGTACCCAATCTGGCAATCTTTTCCTTTAATAGGAATGTTGAAACCACTTATACTTAATATAATTACTGCTATAGTTTCTTCTAAGTCTACAATTTTAATTGGTTTTCCATTTATCACACCTATTCTTTGTTCCTGTATTTCTTCTTTACACTTTCTTTTTAGTCAATCAAGTTGTTTTTAAAATTATTTTCTCCCTTATTAGCATTTCAAATGAACTTCTTTTGTTATTTTAATGATTATTCTAAAGATTAGAAAATACATCTTTGACTTATGTCAGTCCTTTTTAAATTAGTAATTGTAACCTTTCCTAAACAATGTTTTTTTTTTTTTTTTTTTTTTGAGACGGAGTTTCGCTCTTGTTACCCAGGCTGGAGTGCAATGGCGCAATCTCGGCTCACCGCAACCTCCGCCTCCTGGGTTCAGGCAATTCTCCTGCCTCAGCCTCCCGAGTAGTTGGGATTACAGGCACGCACCACCGTGCCCAGCTAATTTTTTGTATTTTTAGTAGAGACGGGGTTTCACCATGTTGACCAGGATGGTCCCGATCTGCTGACCTCGTGATCCACCCGCCTCGGCCTCCCAAAGTGCTGGGATTACAGGCTTGAGCCAAACAATGTTTCTAAACAGCTTACTACACAGTGGTGGGAAACAGTGAGTGTTTCTTTCATTACCTTGCTACAGTTGAGTATGATTTGGCCTTAGCTTGAGGAGAGTCTACTTTTTCAGGTCTTGAATGTGGCCTGGCCACTGTTTTCAAAACCCACCCCTCGTGAGTCAGGATTAATAAGCACTGAATCAGCCTCTGACAGAGCCGGCCACATTTAAAACAGCCTAAACCTCTTGTCTGTATTAAAATGCAACTTAAAACGTGTATCTTACTAGGATATAACCTTTTAACACAGATATTGTATGATTCCACCACTCCACATGCCTACCTTCATGAGGCATGACTTCTGCTGTCTGGTATTTACAGTTACATGTGAAAAGAGAGTTATGCTGGCAAGTGAGGGGGTGGAAGGTGAGGGCTGGGGGATGGGTGGGAGGGGATATCACAATCCTTAATGAGACTAATATCGGCCCTAAAGCTTTGTAATTACTTCCAATTCATGGTATCTTTTTAACTGTCTTTTTTTTTTAATGTAAGATGAAAAGGGTTAAAACTACAGGCCAAAACTAGTTTTATTAATATCTGAATTCTACCAGTCAATTTCATGTTTTAAGAAAGTGAATGTCAGCTGATTGCAATGGTAGCTTATCAGGATGATAAGCCATCCAGGGAATCCTGGTGAAACTACTTTACTGCCAGTTCCTTCAAATCCAGGAAGAGACACACGCCTCCTTGCTCGTAAGCATTAGTTCACATTCAGATTAAACTGCCTTCCAACCAGCTGCCCAAGGGATGATGCTGAGATGGCAAATGATCAGATACGTATCTTTTATTCAGATATCCTTAGGAGCACGTGCACATGTTAAAGGAAATCACTTTTATTTGCTCCAAGCTACTAGAGGAAGAACTAGAATTAAAAAGAGTAAACCCAAAGGACTTTAGGGCCTTAAAGACATCCTATAACCTATATCCCAACTAAATATTTGTATTCAAATGAAAAGCACTGTTAGGGTTATTTCTTCATGAAGATTAATTTTCTCTTTTAACCAGAAATATTTGATATGTCATAATTTTCAAGACACTTTTGGCTAACAAAAGTGCCAAGTGCTGGTATTAAATGTATCAGCAATGGCCCTCGAAGTTTACACATTAACGCAGGTCATGATTTTAAGTTTTTTTTCCCATTCAAACTGAAAGATTGATAAACAGCCCTTGAGTAGTCTCCAGATAGGCTGCTGAGGTTAAGGAATGTCCCGCATGCATTTAGTTAAAAACATGCTGAGTCTTACATAATTACTGTGTTGAAGCAATGGCAGTGGTAGAGCAATAGGTCAGATAACTACTGTGGTTTACTCAATGCAAGGCACAGCCTGAGATAATATAAAAATAATTATATGCACAAACCAGATTTTCCAAACTGCTTATTTAGTTTTCTAGGTCAGTATAGCTGGTCAAATCCCTCTGAAAGTTAAGTTTTCCATCTGACCGTGAATGGTTAGTTCGCTTACATTATTTCTGTAAAATGCTGCATGTATTTAGATGTTCAAAGGACTATAATATTTATTCTGACTCTCTGGAGGTTTTTTTCTCCTAATAAGTACTGTTAGTATGCTGGGGAGAAAGAGTAGATTAAAAGCCGCTCCTGTAAAAGCTTAACACCATCTTCATTACCGTGTAGTTAAAACTTCAGGTCCATACAAATAAGTTCCGAACTGCCTAAGACGAAGTTCATCCAATCATGCAAGCATAGCATTCTCGTTTCATAAGTATAAATTTCCCCTTCATTCTGATTCATTTGAACCTCAACACTCTGCACTAAAAAATTGCCACAGTATTATTTTACCTTTATAGAAGAAACAAATGGTAGTATCATTTTTTTGGGGTGATAATATCATTTTGGTCCTTGTGATTTCCAAGCTAGATCAGAGATTTCAGAAATTTTAAGCATCCGCTATCTTAAACCAACATAGATCTGAGCTAGCTCACTGAGAGGCTGACTAGGGAGAGAAGAGCTCAGCCCCAAGGTGACAGGAAGCAGGAAGAAGGGCAGAGGCCAAAACCTTAGCAGAATACTAAGCTAAAAAGCGACAAAGAAAGAACCGTAATTTGATAATGGATCTTATTTGAAGATTTCCACAAAGTGATAATAGACAGTTTTAGGAAATATGGCCAGTGGGTTTCAAAATGGGCACATTTGCCTATTAGGAAGAGACAGCACTTGATATAGTTTTTGGCAAGCTTCCAACCTTGTCAATTATCTCAATCCTAGTGCAGTTTTCAATCCTGGTGGGATTTCCACCTACCCGAGTGTCCTCTACCAATTTCCCCAACCCTAATTGTCTTTTCCTTCCTCTCAGATATACAGCAGAGTCTCCGTGTCTCTGGAAATTAATCACTATTTGAGAGATTAATTGGAATTTTTAGGCTATTAATTGTAATTTCCTCTTCCTCTGGCTTTTTTAATTTTGAGGAAAAACTACAAGGACTCTTTCAGCAATGAAAACGTACACTAAAAAAAAGAAGCGCCAGCCTCTCTCAACAATAGCTGCTTCTCTGACATTTCTACTATACGGCTTGTCAGTCAGTACACCTGGAGAATTACTTAGGCTTAGTTACAAACTTCACCTGGGGATTTTAAGAAATTGGCTTACATAATAAGATTAATTACATGTAACTATTTAAATGTTAAGTGATATAATTTCCACTCTAAAAGAGCACGTTCATATTCAGAATCAGTCACTTAAGGAAGAGGAGTGCATAATTTAAAACCAAAAGAAAAGACAGTAGCTAAAACTTTGCCCATAGGTTATGGTCTTTTGAACATTTTCTTTCCCTGAGACACTGAATCTGCCTTATTAGACATACACTTATGTGTGCCATCCCACAAAGACATACACACACACTCCACATACTCACACACTAGAGACCTAACTTTCCAGCAGAAGCAAATCCTTGCCCTGGAATGACATAGCAACAAGTACTTTTAACTCCTGTTGAACCAGAAGTAAACGTCTCCTCGCACAGAACATAAAATTGCAACTCACATAGAAGAAAACACCCCAGGAAGCAGATTTAGATGAGTATGCTGATTTAACAAATGCTTTCCTGGTATTCAGACGTTACACCTACAGGCCTGGCTCCAGGCTAAGTAAGATGCCTAATGGGGACCTCCGGGAGGCCTCCCAAGACCGAGACATTTACAGAAGTAGAAAGAATGAGAAGTTGGGAGTGCCTCAAGTAGCTAGAACCACATACTCCAGGAAAAAAAATGGACGCAAATGCAGAGGACAGCCTCAGCCTTCTTTTCTATCTAGGAGCTGTACCTGTGCCACTGTAAGAATCCCCAGGCAGAACTTCTGCTGGCATCCATGAGAAGGCACAAAAATCAAAAATCTCAGACTGAGTAATGACTTGAGGGAAGAGTATAAACTAAAATATTTAATTGTTAATGACTTCAAAAGTCCTGCAGAGTTTCACGAAGTCCAGATTCACTCTCAAACTTTGTACTGTGAGCTCCTTTCCAGTGAAGTTCATGTCTCCATGTATTCAGTCATTCATCCAAAAAAAAAAAAAAGTTTCTAAGAAGCTCTGGTGTGGCAGTCTTCTCTGCTAGTAGCGGTGACCCAAGGACCCTTCCCTTCCTGGAGTGACAGTCCACTGAGAAGAGACTGAAGAAAGAGTTACAAGCAGATTGCTGCATAACTCTGTACATCCTCAAAGCCAAGCATGGTGGCTGGCACCCACTCTGCCCTCATGCTTTATGAAGGAGAGATGAGAAAGAGGAAGGAGAAAGAAACAAGGAGAAAAGTAAGGTTCAGGTTATTGCCATCTCCCTGCCAAGTTTCATAGATAAAATATTTGGGTAATTAACTAAGTAAAGGACATACAATGGTGGGTTCCTGTATAACATACATTCAAGTGTAAAAATATGTCCCTACCCCCACCTGAAATCATGACTATTAATCAACTTCAGAAATGACAAAGTTTTCAGTAATGTAGCCTGTATCAGTTAGTTTCTGGCCAATAAACTGTTGGTGGAGATTAGGAAAGATACCACAGGACAAAGAGCATTATGGCTTTGACTAAGGATCATAAATTCATGGAACAGAACCAATTCTGTAAGAGTTGAGATTAACTTGAAGGTGCCTATCAAAGGGTTAATACTCATCCACAAAGGCTTTCCATCTTGGTAGAGATAAGGCTTCCTGGAAAAGCCAGATTTTAATGCGGTTAACATATGAATAAAAGAGAATGACGGGCCAGAGGGCGAGGCTACTCCAGCGTCTGCATAGCAAAATAAGTAAAACATTAACAAAAATGTGACGCTGCTGCTGGATGCCAGGAACCATGCTAAGTCACTGAAGTGGTCCATGACTAAGACCTAGGGCCTGACTGCAGGCGTTTGCTGCAGGCGTTTCTGTGCTGATCAAGAGCCACAGAAAAAGAGGTCATATTTGAGCATAAATCGAAGTTTTAAAAGGGAAATAGGATCAAACTGACTCATTTTTGGAGATGAGAAAGTGTTTCTTTACCAGGGGGCTTTAGCAGCATCCAAAAACACCATCCTTGGAATCAGGAGGGAGAAAGCATGACCACAGCTTCATTCCATTAAGGTAACTTGTGTTTTCCTTCTGAGACTCATGAATAAAGATACTGCTGATCAAACTTAAAAGCGCAATTATTGCTTGTGTGAACATATGCACAAAGATTACGGTAATGCAGTATTCCTTTTTCAAAAAAGAAGTAAAAAAGGGTCTCTCTCTTTTAGAGCTACTGTGTGAAATATTTACAGATGAAATGATGCCAAGCCTGGGATCTGCTTCAAAATAATCCTGGGTATGCAGTGGAGTGAAGGTAAAACCAGACCATGATGCAATCATTGTTGAAGCTGGATGGTAAGAGGTTCTTTATACTTTTCTTTAAATATATTTGAAATGTTCTCTATAAAAAGTTATTCAAATCTACATTTGTAATAAAAGTCTGCTGGGGCCAGGTGCTGTGGCTTAAGCCTGTAATCCCAGCACTTTGGGAGGCCAAGGCGGGTGAATCACAAGGTCAAGAGATCGAGACCATCCTGGTCAACATGGTGAAACCCCGTCTCTACTAAAAATAGAAAAAATTAGCTGGGCATGGTGGCGTGTGCCTGTAATCCCAGCTACTCAGGAGGCTGAGGCAGGAGAATTGCCTGAACCCAGGAGGCGGAGGTTGTGGTGAGCCGAGATCGTGCCATTGCACTCCAGCCTGGGTAACAAGAGCAAAACTCTGTCTCAAAAAAAAGTCTGCTGGGTATGTAGGGAAATAGAAAACTTTTCAATGATCATTCAATAAAATAGTGCTACTCAGTGTAGCAAGTTAAAAAAAAATCAACAAAAGCTCCTTAAACATTATTATTAAATAATACTATGAGACCTATAGAGTGTTCTGTATACCACAACCATGCCTGGAGCCGGCCAACTGAATCTACTACATCTTTGGAGTTCTAGACCAATTTCTAATCTGTTTTCCAAAGTGCCAGTCACCACTCTATAGTAAAGCCTGAAGTCAACTTGTGAGCCCTGACAAGTGTTAGGTAAGTGAATAGAAATACAATAGAAAAGACAGGATGAGAGGAGCATATCACACATACTGGATGAACTCTCTTTGGGGAACTCTGTGTGTGTGTGTGTGTGTGCGTGTGTGTGCGTGTGCGCGCGCGCGCGCCATGAGCATTTCTATTTAGTCTACTCTCAACATAATAGCCAAAGTGGGTCTGTTAAAATCTAAGTCAGATGGGCCAGGTGCGGTGGCTCATACCTGTAATCCCAGCACTTTGGGAGGCCGAGGCAGGTGGATCACCTGAGGTCAGGAGTTCAAGACCAGACTGGCTAACATGGTGAAACCCCGTCTCTACTAAAAATAAAAATTAAAAAAAATTTAAAAAGCTGGGCGTGGTGGCAGGCACCTATAATCCCAGCTACTCAAGAGGCTGAGGAGGATCACTTGAATCTGGGAGGCAGAGGTTGCAGTGAGCCCAGATCCCACCACTGCACTCCAGCCTGGGCGACAAGAGCAAGACTCCGTCTCAAAATAAATAAATAAATAACTCTAAGTCAGATCATGCCACTGTCTTCTGGAACCCTCCAGCGACAACCTATCTTAGCGTAAAAGCCAAAGCCCTTACAGTGGCCTCCTCCTCCCTGTCATCCTATTTACCCCTTTCTCACTCCACTGGCCTCGTTTCTGTTCCTGGAACACACCAGGCACACTTCCACACTGGGACTCTGCAACTGCGGTTCCTTCTGTCTGGAATGCTCTTTCTCCAAATATCTGCATGACTGGCTCCCTCTCCGTCAAGTGTCACCTTCTCAGTAAAGCCTTCTCTGACCACTCAACCTAGAATACAGACCCCCTTACCCCCAGCATTTCCTGTCTCTCTTCCTGCTTTATTTTTCTCCGTAGAACTTATCACCCTCTAATATACTATATAAATTAATAGATATAGTTATATATAAAAGATACAGATTTATATATACAAATTATATATAGTTCCTTTGCTTTACTGTCTGTATTTAGAAATTCCATGAAGTCCAGAATTTTTTTCTGTTTCATTCATTGCAGTATCTCTAAAATCTAGAACATGGTAAATAAGTACATATTGAATGAATTATGAATGTGTGCATGGTACGTGTGGGTTGAGTGTGTGCTGGGTTTCACAGTATAGGTCACATTTGAAAAGGCTTGTACGATACTGCCCTGGATCATACTTGGACTACCTCTAGGCTTACTAAGAGTAAAGACTGAAAAGCAAGTACAGTACCCACCAACAGACACCCAACAGTCCTCATGTCTTACAGACTCGGTGCCTAGAATGAATGATGTGACTGGTAATTGCTATTTGAAATATGCATGTATGAGGGTGTAACTGATTTACATACAAGAGGGTTGTTTCCTTGGGGGACCACCAAGGCACCATAAATTGGCAAGAGGAAATAGGCAGAATCAGAAAAATCGTAAAATTTTTAAGACTCTCAGAGATGATCTGGGCCAAACTAATAATCCTACAGATGAGCATCAAAGTCACAAAATGATAATGTAATTTGCCCCTGGACACACAAAAAGTAAATGCTGACACAGAGCCAGTGTAGACTTAGGCCACATGACTCCTCACCCACTGATCTTACACACCTTGGCCCATCATAACCATGCAAAACAGGAATCTACTCCAAAAGCCTCTGCCTGTTCCCTTTTCCTTGGGAATAACCTGAAATTATTTCTCCAATTAGGCACCAATACTTTTATTCCACTGTACTTGACAATTTGGAGGAATCTCTGTTTTAAAAACAGAGCTGCTAATGATCACTATTTCTCATAAATCAAAGCCTTAAAAATTCCCTCCCATAGCAACCGGCGGTGGGTTGACTCATCTACTATGATTCTCCACCTTTCCAATAATATAGTTCCAACTTACATCAGGCCCAGGGTTGTTAAAGCCTGTCAAGAATCTAAACCTCAACCCTCACTGTCCTTCTCATTAGAGCTAAAGACCCTAACCAGTTTTGAATTAATGGACTTATCTATTTTCATAGCCATAAAACAAAGTGCTTCAAACCATAAGGCAATAACAAGTGAAAACAACACACGAGTTGTCTGTCAGTCATGTTAATGTAGTGGGGTAGCAGAACATTTTTCAGGGAGTGATATTTTTACAAAATGAATAGTTAGACTAATTGCTTGTTTTTCAGCTAAGACTACCATAAGCTTTTTGACCATGAGAGGCCATGTATTTTGGAATTCTCAGTGTTTTGTTGGTGGCCTTAGAGGGCTGAGGACATTCATGACATAATTACGGCAGATGCTCTTGTTTCCTTCTTCCCCCTTAACAGAACCCTGTTCTGTTCAGGCCTCTTCACTCCTTCAGGAAAGGCTGGTCCATCTGTGCTCCAGGAAGGGGGTCACAACTGGACTAAGTGCATCAGGGGAATCCTATTCCCTTGCCAGTGATTGGTTCACATGTAAGCATGTGATAAAACTGCAGCCAATGAGGCAAAGGGAACTTTGCTGATGGGTGGGGGGGCAGCTGTGTCTGAGAAAGTCTTTCTTCTCTTTCACAAGGCCAGGAGGAAGAGATTTCCCCATCTCTGTTTCTAGATCCTATGCCAGGGGACCGCTGTTGTCATCTTGACACTGTAAAGACAATGAGGCTGAGGGAAAGGCCCCCCAACCAAGAGTGCAGAGTTGAGAGAAGCAGACAGAGTTAGATACTGCGGTGTCTACAACCGCTACAACGGTAGCTCAGCACTTCTTCTCAGAGTTTTCTGTATTAGCGGCTGAAACGTCCTAACCCTTACAATAATTGCATCCTGGAATGGTCTGGTCAGGATGTGAGGAGGTGTGAGTGTGTGATACGTGTTGGTGTTAGCATGAGAAACGTTTGTGTGAACAGCAGGTCCCAGGAACAGTGAGTCTTTTGTTAGAGACGGCTTAGCCTGTGACATTAGAAAGCAGGAGGAACAAAGTCTAAAATGTGAGCTGTCAGGGGGGGCTGCAGAGGCCAGCGTGAGGCACAATACCACCCCTACGTGTGCTGCTGTCCTAGGGGGCCCAGGGCAGCCAGATTTCACCTGAGGGAGGACCCAGAACAACAGAGCCACTGTGGCCTGTGCCCAGTTCCTCTAGGGCTGGCCAGGAAAACACTCTGAATGAGACCTTCAGGAAGAAGTTCCAGTACTTGCTTTGTCTTCACACTCCTATGAATGGGCACTTATTTGTATTTGGTGGGGGTGGCTGTGTCAGTTCCCTATGGAAAAAAGGAGCAAAGGCCATGACCAACTTGAAGGGGAGCCAGCCATCCTATAAATACACGCAGGCCATTGGATAGTGAAGCCTGCCGAAGAAGGCAGCTACCCAGGGACTCAGTTTCCCAAAGACGTCTGTCTTTACCTCCATTAGCCCCAGGCTAGGGCCAATCTTCCTCCAACTAACAAAGTATATCTACCTAGAGGAGTCTCTGTACTTCGGAGGAGAAAGAGGACTTTCGCAACAACCTGGCACTCAAAATCAGCAAGTATTAAAAAATGCTCATGGGCTAGGTCCATTATAGTGAACAATATATGGTTCTGGAAATTTTCCTAGTTATAATCACTCATATTTTTGATGTGATCTGATCAAACACATTTTTTTCTTTACTTGTTTGAGGTAAAAGTAAATATTATGAGAACCTCTGTGACAGCTACAAGCATGTAATATGTTAGTCTTTCCAGCAAAGTCTTTCTAGTACAATACGGTGATCTGCTGTGATCAAAGGGTGTCGGCTCTTTGATTAGAAACAACAAAAGAGCCAGCAGATGATATCCTTGGAAACGTCTGTACAAGCATCCATCTAGCGGGGCATATGGAGGCAGCCACAGACGCATCAATGCACGAATAATATTCGGGAGCATCAGGCACACAGTAGGGAAACTTGGTTCCTGGATGATTCACACTGTACTTCGAGGTCATAGAGTTGTGCCCAGGGTTTAAAAAGCTGGATAAAAATCTAATTAACTAGTCATGAGAAATGCACTAATTGCTTTGCCCAGCAGTAGCAGAGAAGACCTGCTGCTCTCCCTCATTCTTCAGTGAGAAGGAGGGTGCCATGGCCTTTCAGGGATATGAGCGAAGGGAGGTATTTCTCTAGTGGAGGCTGAGCTAACCAGCCCCTGAGAGTAATTCTCTATGGAACTATCTGAGAAGGTCAGGGGCTGGCTGCAGAAAAAGATGAATGTGGAAATGAAAGTGGAAAGAAGGGGCACCCCCATCTGTTGACCAAGTTTTCGGTGGATATGGATTGAAATGTCTCCCATCTGATTACAAGCATCCTGTCAGGGAAGGACTTGACCTATGGGTTTTCTTCTGTCTGCTCACCTTATGACTATCTCACCTTCTCTTTCATCTATCAATTTCTTTGCCTTCTTAAAATAATGGCTTTATTGAGATGTAAATCACACACCCTACAATTTACCTGTTTAAAAGCAAACAATTCAATGACTTTTAGTTCATTCACAGATAGTGTACCTATTAACTATTACCACAATCAAATTTAGAACAATTTCATTACAGCAAAAAGAAAACTCATACCTATTAGCAGTCACTCCCTATTTTACTCTAAATCTGTCAGCTGCAGGGGACAACTCACCTACTTTCTGTCTCTAGGATTTGCCCATCTTGAGTGTTTCACATGCGTGGAATCATACAGTCAGTCTCTCACTTCTTCACTTAACATACTGTTTTCCAGGCTCATCCCTGCACACAGGATCCATGTACACAGGATCGCTTTTTAAAACTTTCCCTGGCCGGGTGTGGTGGCTTTTGCCTTGTAATCCCAGCACTTTGGGAGGCCAAGGCGGGCAGATCACAAGGTGGAAAGATCCAAACCATCCTGGCCAACATGGTGAAACTCCTCCACTAAAAAATACAAAAATTAGCTGGGTGTGGTGGCGCGCGCCTGTAGTCCTAGCTACTCAGGAGGCTGAGGCGGGAGAATTGCTTGAACCCAGGAGGTGGAGGTTGCAGTGAGCTGAGATTGCACCATTGCACTGCAGCCTGGTGCCTGGTGACAGAGCAAGACTTTGTCTCAAACAAACAAAAAAACACCTTTTCCTGTAGCTCTCCATGTTGAACTCTAGCTTTGTCACTTGTTTCTTCAGTATTCACTCACTCCTGCAATGTGCTTGTGAACCACAAATCAAGGTAAAAAGTCCTAATTCAGACAAATTCATATGCTTCTGCTCAGAGTCTCCTGTTGCAAGTAAGTTAAAAATAATAAAATAAGTTAAAAATAAAATTTCTAGGCTGGGTGCAGTGGCTCACACCTGTAATCCCAGCACTTTGGGAGGCCAAGGTGGGTGGATCATGAGGTCAGGAGTTCGAGACCAGCCTAGCCAAAATGGTGAAACCCCATCTCCACTAAAACACAAAAATTGGGTGTGGTGGCATACACCTATAATCACAGCTACTTGGGAGGCTGAGGAGGAGAATTCCTTGAACCCAGGAGGTGGACGTTGCTGTGAGCCGAGATCATGCCACTACACTCCAGCCTGGGGGACAGAGTGAGACTCACTCACCATCTGGGGGAGAAAAAAAATTCTAAAAGCTATTGAAGGCATGTGGCTAATGTAAACTGGTGACAGGGTCCTTGCAGAACTGATTTACATACAAAAGATAAAGAAGGAGCTACATTTGCACTCTTATGACTGTTACTGAGTGCCTGGACATGCCAGACACTGCTAGGCACCCAAAATCCAGCAGTAAACCAAACAAAAATAGCTGCCCCTGTGAAGCAGGTATTTTAGTGATCCATGATAAAATCATTTTAAAAAGAAAAGCAAGGGAATAAGCTGAAAAGTCAGAGGAGTGGTTACCTTTGGAAAGAGGGAATGAAATAAGATGGGGAAGGAAAGAGAGGAAGACGCAAGGCTAGGCAAAGTTCCTAATAATTATGTGGCTGTGCTTCATAACTTGAAGCCTATTACTGATATTCTTTTGTATATATTATATCTTACCTAAAATGTGTATAAATTTTTTTACCTAAGAAAGAACCATTCTCTGGATGGGAACGTGTAACAGTGGTGTTCTTTGGATTGACTGAGCTAATTTAAAATGTTGGGACTGCAGGAGCCTTACGCAGAGTATAGAAATCCTACACTGGCACGATTATATGGCAAGGATTTGAAAGGCTTATAACAAAGAGCAAGGTAAGGTATTTAGGAGAAACTTTTCCAGTTGTCTTAGGAGATCATGAGCTCTGAGTGATCACTTATCACTCAGGAAAGGAACCTCGGTGTATCTTATTAGAACACAAGCTTCATGAGATCAGGGATTTTTATGTTTGGTTCACAGATTTTCAAGTTTTTGTCACAGATATTCGCACATTTGATTCTAACGTCGAGTGTTATTAGCCCATTTTATGGATTAAAAAATAGAAACTCTGAGACTAGTTGATGCTGGTGTTTGGACCAGATCCTCAACTTCCCAATGCTTGTAACACAATGCCACCCTTGGGGTCTGTCGTTCAAGTGAACCCACATTAATTCACAAAGCCCAAACATAGATGCTAAAAATACGTTTCAGAGAGTTAAATTTAAAGCAATAGGAAGAAACCTCATCTGTTCTATAGGTAGAAAACCACTGAAACTCATTACTATAAGAAGGAGCACAAGCTAAAACTACAGATGGATTCAGACGAGTTTACATTAACTCCTGAATGACAGCTTTACACTCAGCTATTTATGAAAAGTCAGACGTCTGCAGGGCATCTCCTCCCTGAAAGGCTGTTGTACATTTTTACAAAATCCCCTTCATGCTATTACTTAAGAATACAGAACCAAATAAGTACTGCGGCAATTACTATGTTCTTAAGCCAAATGACATGTCTAACTCAAAATCATGTCTTACACGTGTAATTGCCTAAGATTTTCTGTGATTCTATTCCTAATCTTAATCTCATATTAATTATTTCAGGAGCGTTTACAAAGCTTCTGTCAATTGCTTTTTCCTCTGAAGAATTCATATTCTGAAAAAAGGCATGTGGATTTGTTTGGTTGCTTCAAGCAAGCATAGGACCCGGGCTCTCCTGAGACCAAAGTTCAACCCTAGGGTGTATTGACATCACATGGAACAAAAACTTCTGAGCCCTGGTCATCGGGTGTACCTTCAACCCTTGACACTGATCATGAGGGCGATCCAGAGAGGATAGTTGGCTAGAGCTAACCAGGCCCCCAACCAGAAATTAACAACTCCAAGGGTATATACTGAAAGAGAATAGTGCTCTCTGTGCATATGAAAATCAGCAAAATGTATTATTTACCAAACAAGCATTTGGTAATTTGGTAATTAATACGATTTACTGGATCTCACTGTCTCTGAGGACAAGCACTGTAAAACAAAATGGCTAATTTTTTTGTAATAAAGAGAATTGGAATGAGCAAGTTAAATCAATATTAGGCAGCCAAATTATGTGTATTAATATCTACATATCATTAGTATAATCCCAAGTGAATTATTTCATTACTAAAAGTAATGCTAGGCCTGCCTTTCCATTTCCCTTGATATTAACTTACATGTGATATAAATGTGGTGAGAAATAACTTGTGTTTGGAACCTAATCCACTTCCATTTCTGTGTAAACATAAACACACATACATACACGTGTGTGCATGTGTGTGTAAACACGCATTCTTATCTGTGGTACAAAGGCTCTCAGACAAGAGTTTTCTACACACACAGAGAAAAACGTGTGCTTTGTTTCCTCAGCTTCTCTTTCCACCTTCATGGCATTGCAGGTTTTCTTTGGAAAGAGGGGTGTACATAAATCTAACAAAAATGTATGAAGCCTAGAATACACTGAAGCCCAAACTAAACAAAACATCTGTTTAAACAAGAATCTGACAAATGTCCCAACTTGTTCTTCTTTATAGAACTTCCATGGAAAATCACTGTAAAGATTCACAAAAATTAAGAACATCTCTCAATGTCTGGGACTAAAACCAAACAGGGACCCGAGAATCAGGGCTGAGCCGTGTTGGTAAGTTTCTGCCTTGGGGAATGGAGGGTAAGCAGACAGGGCTACAGCCACCGAGCAGGGTAGCAGCAGGTTTTCTATGGCAGATTCTGCCGTCAAGGCTAGAACATTCTCACTGGAGTCATCCAGACCAGAGCTGCCCAATACAAATATAACATAAGCCATGTATGTAATTTCAAATATTCTAGTAGCTACCTTAAACACATTTTTAAAATAACAATAAAAACAATTTTTAAAATATATATTTAGCTTAATAGAGATTTTTTTTTTTTTTTTTGGGACAGAGTTTCGCTCTTATTGCCCAGGCTGGAGTGCAATGGCAGGATCTTGGCTCACTGCAACCTCCGCCTCCTGGATTCAAGCAATTCTTGTGCCTCAGCCTCCCAAATAGCTGGGATTACAGGCATGCACCACCACACCTGGCTAAGTTTTGTATTTTTAGTAGAAACGGAGTTTCACCGTGATAGTCAGGCTGATCTTGAACTCCTGACCTCAGGAAATCCACCCACCTTGGCCTCCCAAAGTGCTGGGATTATAGGCATGAGCCACCAAGCCTGGCATAGATAAAAAATATTATCACCTAAACACATATTCAATATTTTAAAAATTATGAATCAGATCTATTTTTTGGCTTTGTACGAAGTGTTTGAATGCTGGTGCATATTTTATACTTGTAGCACATCTCAATTCAGACTAGCCATGTTTCAAGGGCTCAGAAAACCACGTGTGGCTGTCACATGGACAGCACAGGTCCAGGTCTTGAGAAGCAAGTCCTTAGAGGTCTAAGGCAGCCCCGCCCTCTGACAGATACTACAGGAGGTCTACTGCGACAGCCACACTCCCTGCTTCCCATTTCTTTGCCATCCCAACAGTCTCTTGTGCTTATTCCTTGGAAGCAACATCATATAAGAAAGCACATGTGGCATTCCATAAAGTAGTAAGGAAGTGCTAGGTTTCACTTCCTTGAAAAAAACAATACCCAGCCCCTACTGAGGTTGCAAAGGGCAATGATAGGACCCAATAAAATCCAGCAACTGGACCTCTGATGTGAAAAGAATTGTGTGAGGTTATCACTCAAGTGCTGCTGGGATTCATAGTGCCCTAAATCTATGATCTGAGTTATGTCAGTAAATAGCCACACGTCAGTCGTTTGCTTACTATAGTTTCTGAGTCCAATAGCCTCAACGTTCACCTCTTTCTTTACAGTTACTTGACTCCTTAAAGATACTTCCACCTTCCCATTTTCTTGCACTTGAGGATGGTAACAGAAGTTCAAGAACTGCTTCCTTTTCTTAGAAACTGTCACGTTCCTGCATCTTATTTGCATGAATTTCTCCCCAATTAAATGTACTCAAAATTCCAAAAGATAACTTTATTTTCTAAAAACCAATGCATTTGCTTTCCCCTGATGTGGGCCTTTTGTAGAAGCAAAAATCCATCTAGCTAGCTGCTGATGGCCAGGTTGGCAGCAAATCTCTTTTAAATAACATGGCTTGTATACACCACTAGCAACCTCAGTTCACACAGTCAGTTTTCTTTATGATGTTTTTAAAAGAGATACAATGATAAGATCCAACTTTTTTTGGACACTTTTTTCCTCTTTGAGGGTGAAATTAGAACTCACTGTGGTTTATTTGAAAAAGAAATTGAGTTGCCATTAGGGAAAGAACAAACCACTTTTTAAATAAAGCTTGAATCAAACCTCAGGACCAGAGGAGTTTACCAACACTTTTAATGACCATCCCCAACATCATCCTCCAGCTGTCACTCCACAGTTTTCCTCAAGGTTAGCAAGAAACTACTTTTTTAAAAAGTCAGTTTGCAAAATTAGTGAAAGATAACCTGAACAGCACAAGGAGCAAACACAGCAACGAGAGTGCACCGGATCCAATTCTCTCTTTTTAGCTTGTTGATTTGACATTAGTTATGTCTCTGTCTTAGAAATACTCATCTAGTGTACCAATGCTGTCCATGAGAATTTCCTGTAAAAAATGATAAAAATGTTTTGTATCTGTGTGGTCCAGTACAGTAGCCACTAGTCATGTGTGCTGCTGAGCACTGGAAACGTGCCTAGGGTAACTGAGGAACTGAGTATTTTTACATTTAAATTTAAATAGCCACATGTGGCTAGTGGTTACCACACTGGACAACACAGTCATACACAGTTAGGGCAGACCTAGGCCACTTAAATCTTTGTGTCTTAAGGGCCGGGCGCGGTGGCTCAAGCCTGTAATCCCAGCACTTTGGGAGGCCGAGGCGGGTGGATCACAAGGTCGAGAGATCGAGACCAACCTGGTCAACATGGTGAAACCCCGTCTCTACTAAAATACAAAAAATTAGCTGGGCATGGTGGCGCGTGCCTGTAATCCCAGCTACTCAGGAGGCTGAGGCAGGAGAATTGCCTGAACCCAGGAGGCGGAGGTTGCGGTGAGCCGAGATCGCGCCATTGCACTCCAGCCTGGGTAACAAGAGCGAAACTCCGTCTCAAAAAAAAAAAAAAAAAAATCTTTGTGTCTTTATAGGCACAACAGCCTGGCGATCTGAGGCCCATTGAAAATATAAAGCACTTTGTGACTTCTTTCTTGAAAGTATTAAATAATTAAATAGAACAGCCTCTACGAGGCCAGACAGAAAAAAAAAAAAGTAATCTACAAGAAATTCTCTAAGGATGATGCTACTCTTTAGGATGAGCAGAAAGTGGGTGTGGGGAACATTAATATCACAGGAGCTTGGGTCCTAGATGACAGTTCCAGCTCTAGCTCTGCTGTCAGCGAAGTGAGCAGCATTAGGCAGTTTCTGAGTTCCTCGGGCTCTGACTTTCTTATACAATGTTGGAATCTGTTAAACAACTTCCAAGCTCCCTCCTCACTCTCAGTCTAGTCAGTCCAGCTCTTATTTCTTAGGAGACTTAAATATTGGTTTATTTGAAATAATTCCTTACACTGCATTACAGATAGGCTGAGGTTGAGTGACGCTGACAGGCCAAACTGTTGAAGCAAGGCCATGTTACAGTTAGACCATGCTATATAGACTATATAAAAGACTGGCCCCACAAAGGTGTACGATTAATTATCAATGAGGAGAAAAGCAGGTTATTTGCATAAGCAGCTAGTAGCTGGCCCTCCCAGAATGCACAGCTGAAAGGTTTGTGGCCACTTGATGACACACTCATCCCAGTTCTTTGGCTTCAGATCCCAGAGGACAGCCACCTAAGTCCCTCTGCAGAGCATGCTACCTGGCCCTACCTAACTGCCATTTCCTCTAGCCATGGAGACTTTAAATAAACCCCTGCATTTGTTAGTAGCTTGGAGACACATCAGTGTGTTCTGTCACACCAACCAGGCTGTGCCAGAGACACAGGTACCCATCTTGACCCCTAATCTGAATCCATGTGAGAGACAGAATACCAGCTTCCTTTCCCATGGGCCAAAGGGAAGGAGAAACCGGAGGGTGCCTAGAGGATTTGCAAACTATGAACACTGAAGAAAACCAAATGTGGGATTCATGAAAACATCTCTAAATAGGAATCTGACCAAAACATATGAGAGAAGAGAAAGAGACAAAAGCGGGGGGGAGAGAGAGAGAGAGCGCTCGCGCGCACACAAGAGAGCGAGGGAGGGAGGGAGGGAAGGAAGAGATGGGGGAGGGAGGGAGGAAGGGAGGAAGGGAAGAAGGAGAAAAAGGTGGGTAGAGGGAGGGGAGAGGAGGGAGCGGAGGGAGGGGAGAAGAGGGAGGGGAGGGAGGGAAGAAGTAGGAGAGGAAAGGGGGAAGGAAGAAAGAAAAAAAGGAGGGAGGGAGGGAGGGAGGGAGGGGGAAAACCATTTTGTTTTGAAAATTAAATGGCATATTTCAGAAGCCATGAAATGAGAATACATACATTCATAAAAGATAAATGATTGGTGGGTGATAGGGGATAATATTAATCATGTGTCTTTTTCTCCGTATCTGCCTTGACAGGAATCTTGATCTTCTGGCAGAAAACTCTTCTAAAACCTTCCAACATGACACCGCTTGTGTATAGGTGTTCCAAACCGAATGTCCAGTTATTTCCACCATTGTGCAAAAATGGGAGACCCTGCTGAGCAGCAGATGGCCCTCAGCGAGGCTGACACTCAGGCCAGGCCCCAGGTGGCAGCTCTCAGAACACACTGTCCAGTTAAACCCTGCATAGACTAGCCACAGAAGATACCTGGTGTTCACATCCCCCAAAAGTTGGCCAAATGACAGGGTCATGAAGTACACTTCATGGGTTAGTAGGGAGAACCAGCATTTCAGAAGTATGCAAATCACTGGGTCCCCGCTGTCAAACACTGCAAATATGTAGCATGCTAAGAAAAGAATCTCCTTACCTCTCAGATTCTGTATTGCTCACTTCATCTGAGTTGCTACAATGGACAATAAAATCTAATAAGTTAAAATAAGGTGTGGAATGCTCAGGAGAAAAACAAAGACTAGTGCTCCTCATCTGAGTGAATAATTTCTCTCACAGAGTTTATTTTAGCTTTGCAAGTTTTTTATTTGTGATATTTTAAATTGGAATTTGTGCATGTGTGATTTAAAATAAAAAAGGCAATCAAGTCTTTCTGCCAATCTAGGTGATGTGAAATTTAATTATGGAGCAGTTATTATTAAAACAAAGGCAAAGCAATTTTTTACACATAGTTCAATATTCCAGAAGAGAATTTCTGAAAAATTCAAAGGTCCAAAAGACAACTTCTCAGTGAGAATGACTGTTTCAATGAGATATCCTATTTTGTAGTATTGGAGCCCCAGAATTTCTAGTTAGACATTAATAAGTCTTGCCAGAATTGCTATAGCTCAGTTTTGCCGTCTGCATCTAGAAATATGGAAGACAGCTATGTTACTGGTTATGACTCCACAGTAATGAGTAATGAAAATTTCTACATCAACACCAGTGTGACTCAGCCTGATTTACCTGGAAAACATTACTGTTATACAGAATCCAAAGAAATAAATACCTCAATCCATTCAGGAATGTTCTTTTCCCAATTAAGGTTTTGATGACTGCACCTAATACTGACTTTTTATCTTTTTCTGTTTGCATTTTAATTAAGCCTGTGTCAACTTTAGTTTTATAATATGGTGTGTTTATGTTTCCATATCTTAACTTCTTATCCCAGGGGTTCCTTTAATATTTAATGTTTTACCGTTTTCAGTTACTGGGAACATCTTGAAGCTTCTTTATTGATTTGCTTGGGTTAATTTTTTTCTGGACTGTGAAATTATCCATTTGGCAATCATATTGCTAATATGCAGAAAGTTCTTATTTCAATTATAAGAGCAAATATAACCCATGATCATTAAGAAAACTGTTTTGCAGATTGGCCGTTGTTTATTTCAGAATATAACAAAGTACCACAGGCTGAATTAAATGCTTAAGGATAAGAGCTTTTTTTTGTGTGTGATTTAAAATAAAGGTAATCAAAGCTTCCTGCCAATCTAGGTGATTGTGAAATTTAATTACTAGTAGTTATTAAAACAAAGGTAAAGCAATCTTTTACACATAATTGAATATTCCAGAAGAAAATTTGTGAAGCGTTCTCAGAAAATGTATTTTTAAATGAATTGTAACCTCAGGTTATTTCATTTGTTATGTCTCAGTTGGTACCATAGAATAAACAACATACTTGGGTAACGGAGTTCAACAGCAGCTAGTGAGAGCAAATTCTCAGGAAAATTCGCTAACTTTAAACTTAATGCTCAGCAAATTATTAGATCTTTACTCTGCAAACACAACCATACCCAAATCTCCCACAGCTGTTCCTTTACGAGAAGTATAACCCATGTTGACTTCACCTCTCTCTATGCTCAATGCTACAGGATCAACTGTTCCTTTTTCACTGCTCAATTGCCCACATGTCCTATGGCTTCCAGAGCTGTTCGTTCCATCAAACCCACTGCTACCTGAACAGAAAGAAAACTTCCTACAACAGCAACAGCAATGACTGAGCTGGCAGCTCTGTGCATGATATTGCTTATGGGCCTGTAAGCCTAACTTTCTAGACCTTTCTGGAAAAAGGATCAAGGGCTCCAAGAAAGAAAGTCAAAATAAGGCCATGAACTTATCCATCTCCAGGCCTTTTCCTAAGCTCTTCTCTTTCCTGAATGTCTTTCCCTCCATCTGCTTTCCAGAAAAATTCTACTCATCCTTCAAGGCCTAACTCATATGACATTTCCACTGACCCCGCTAATCTGAGTAAGGCAATTGCTCTCCTCTGCACTCTCCTCCACAGAATTCGTTTTATCAAACTGGAGTAGAGGTTGCTGTTGGTGTGTTTGTCTCTGCTGCTGAATGATAAAGGAAAAGAATCTTGACTCATCTTTCCATGCCAAACACTCAGGAATATGCCTGAAACCTGGAAGACACTCCCATGCTTATTTAATGGAGCCCAAAATTCAAGATCAAATTTAACGTGATGAAAGTAGATTGTATATTTGTTGGATTCATGTCTGCACCTAAATTCTGAGCCCATGAATGCCTTCTTTTTCATTCCTCAAAGGAGTAAAATATATTCCCATTAAGCATTTATTAAATTCTAGGCCCTGTGCTAAATACTCTACACATATTATCTCATTTAATACCCAAGACACTCTATGACGTAGGCCTTATTATCAGTATCAGCCTCATCTACAAATGAGCAAATTGAGGCTTGGAGAAGTTAAGCAACTCACTCCAAGATACCCAGCTGGTCGGTGGTGAAGCCAGAATTAAAAGACAATACTCCCAGAACTTCACAGCTAGTGGGAACGCTACAATTATCTTCCTCCCTTAACCTTCTTAAACCTGAGGTTTATAACTTACTGCCTGGCACACAGTAGGCCCTTGTAAGTAGTGATTAGTAGATTGATGGAGTGCCCTAATTTCTCAGATTCAGGCCTTCGCCTGAAAGAGCCCAGCTGCCACCACAAATAGGCTCTATTCTTTCTGCCCAGCACCTCTCACAGGTGTGAATTGCTTGTGTCCTCTGAATTATTCATGAGCCACACAATGGTAAGTGTGCTTAAAAAGAGAACTACAAAGCTGTATTTTTCAAGACAAAGTGCCTGATTAATTGGGGAATTAGGCAGTATAAACTCACCGGCTAGTTTGATTCATGCCAAACAATACGTCCGTGCTCACTTTTTGAATTTCAGTTTTCACATAAGTTCCCAGTTTCCCTTAGGATTAAACATCGGGGTAAATAAAGCGGGAAAAAGAACCATCATGGGCATCTGTATCCTATCTGCAAAGCAATTACCGTCATCTAAATCTCATACTGGGTTGCTTCAGACCAAAGTATTCTTCCGAAGGCTGAGTTAGGATTTTCAATCAGGTTTCTTAAGCTATATCAAGATCTGAAAATTCAGATGCCACAGCAGCTGTAATTCATGTGACACCACCAGCTCCTTGTCCTTTCTCCTTTCCTCTTTCCCTTTGCCCTACCAGTTCATTTTGTAGTGGGCAATTTTCTGAGGGATAACCATATGCTAATAGAAAGCCAACGCCACTGTATTTTAAATTCAGTGTTAGTCAACCAAAATGAATTGAAAAACAGCAGCGTGGTTTGAGGGCACTAAAAATAAGCTGTAGCATTTGCTGAGTTCTCAGAATTAAAACCACCAGCGGTCAACTTGTTGCTGCTCTTAATAAGCTGTGACTTCTGCCCCACTGGCTGCTACAACCAGAAGCTTGAACTATATCACACACCTAACAACACCGTGTTTTAGATAGTTGGCAGTGATCAAGAAAGGAAGTGTTATTTCCCTGGAACTGAACCTGCCAAGAAAGGTAACAGATGGCTTTCAAGAGATCACCTTGTGCCACGTCACAATTGCATGCATCTTAGTTAAATTCACTTTCCATTTATGATTTAATGAGTTACACATCTAAAGCTGTGGTTGCCTTTATGCCCAGCTTGCTATCCAGTGCCTCCAAAAAGGTGTTTCTTCCTTTAATTTTTTGTTAATAATAAAAACAGCCCAATGGGACTTAATGTAATGTTAATATATCGAGCACTTCCATTAGGACTTCATGACCTTCTTGACCCTTAAATACCGTATACTCCCCTAAATGTTTTAGCAGCCATCCCTTTGGGTTTGTCATTAAAGTTTTCAATGACCAGAGAGGTAGAGGAATTCTACCTAATGCATCATTCTGATTAGAAACCTGTCATACTCAGAAACCAGTGGGTCTGCTTCTATTGACTCCTACTCCCTCGGATTCAATAGCATTTTCCCCCCTCTTCAATTAGACCCAAGAGCAACCACAGAAAAGCTGAAAGAAGCCTTTCCTTTTTGCTCAACCATACTTAAAAGGAAAAAAAAAAAGTATGCTTTGCTAGTGAAATTACAGACAGTAGTATCAGATAATGTCTAAGGAGTCTCTCTCACTCTCTCTCTCTCTCTTTCTCTCTCTCTCTCTCTCTCTCACACACACACACACACACACACACCCCACTTGTAAATATGCCAAGAGTCAGAGGCTGGGCTCGACCTCCCTTCCCCTAACCCACTTCAATCAGAATCAGAAAGACACCTCCCTTCATTGCTGCTGTCTCAAACCCATGCCCAAACGAGTGTGTCTCCACGGAGCTAATTTCTGAAACAAACAAAGAAAATCAAGTCTGCGAGGAGAGAGGGTTTACTCCCCTCTGCTCTGGATTTGGGTGCCCAGGGTCGCCGGCGCGGCACGGCAAACAGATCGGGGCGCTCAGCTTCGCCCCAACCTTCCCCGCCCCGCCAGTCCCAGCTCCCGCTGCGCCAGAAAGTGCGAGCCTGCCCGCTCCTTTCGTTTTTCGCCTACTGCGACCCAAGCCCCAGAACACCCGCGTCCGCACACTGAGGGCTCGCCGCTCTCCCACCTCTGCGCTGTCAGATATCAGGGGCGGGGGTGCTCTGGGCACCGAGGTGCTGGCGAACTAAACAAGTGTCACCCGGACGCCTGCCCCGACTCGGAGAGAGCGGGCGGGACGGCCACAGGTAGGCTCTGTCCATTCCAGGGTGCGGGGAGAGGGCTAGGGGGGCGAGACCCGGCGCGGCAACCGCGCCCGACGGGCTGAAACTCACCGGAGGACACCGAGGAGCCGGACAGGCTGGAGTTACTGGACGCTGCCATCTCCGCGAGCCCCTAGCGTCGTGCTCGCTCAGCCCCGGTGCGGGCGCCGCCGCCGCTGCCCTCGCCCGGCCGCTCGCAGCCTCCGCGGCCCCCAGCCCATGGCAAAGTCCTGGGGACGCGCAGAAAGCACCAGCCTCCGGACTCTGCCTGCACTTCCTGCTCCACCAGATGACGCGCTGCCGCCGCCGCTATTTATTTGTGGTTTCCGTCCCGCTCCGCGCCTTTGCACGCTTTTCTCCGGGTGTCAGGGGGTAGGTGGGAGCAGAGGGAGGCCGAGGGGTGGCCGGGACGTGCGGATCTCGGCTCCTGCCGAGCCCCTCTGCCGTCCGCGCTCCCCCGTGCGCGGCTGGGACCAGGGCGTCCCGGCGGCCCCGAGCGCCCCGCCAGCTCCCGCACCCTTTCCTAGGCTCCCGCCTCTCCCGCCTCACTTCGAGTAGCCGGGGCAGAGGCAGCGGGAGACAGACCGACAGAGCGACCTCCCCCTTCTCCCTCCGCCCCAACTCCGCTCGCGCGCACACAAAGGAAGGAGCGGAGACGCGGGAGCTCAGAGGCTGGTTCGGCTGCAGCGGGCTTGACAGCTCCCGCCACTGGGGCTGGAGAGGGAGACTGCAGACTGCAGGACTGCGGGAGGCGGGACGGGGGAGTGGGTCTCCGGGGTGCTGGGGAGGCCGGGGGGTGGGGGGCGCGGGGCGAGCTCGGCTGCTTGCGCAGCGCTGCTCCCAGGATTTGAAGGGGATGGAGAGGGAGGGTGTGGGGGAAGGTAGTGGGGCTCGCCGCGCCCCGCTGGGCTATCTAGCGGCGAGACAGTGGGGGTGGGGGATCCAGAGGGCAAAAGCGGGATCACTAGGGCCACGGTGCTAGGCAGAAGGGACCCTGGGATGCCACAGCCACTGTGGAACGCTCTTTCCACTCCCCTCCAAATTGTCCTTTGTTGCTCTGGAACTGACAGACCCTGCCCTGCAAGAAGGTGCGTTTCCTAAAACACCCGAGAAGTCAACTCAGCTACACTAAAGTACGCTAGCCACGGACAGTGCCCGACGCGTCCGTGGGCCTCTGGTGTTGGCCTTCAAAAAAATAGAGCCGTCCAAACGTGTCATCAGGCCCACACAAAGCCGGGTGTCAAAGAGAAAGAGGTTCTCCGAGACTGTGCCTTGCAAAAGGTCCTCACAGAAGACTTAAGACTTGGCAGCAGGTCCGACTGTGCCCTTTTAGGATAGGAGCTGCTCAGGTGTGTGAGAGAAAGAGATTTGATCACGAGGTGCGTCCCTTCCCCCGTATTTAAACCTAAATTAATTTCACTGGGACGAAATATCATGCAGATTTTTTTAAGTCTGTTTCATGCTCCCAGCGGGCTAATCGGTTATTTCAATCCTAAAGCAACAGAAAACTGTGAAATTTGAAGAGAAATGGTTAGATCAAAGGAAAAAGCAAACATTAAAGGAATGAAAGTACTCTCATTATATAGCAAAATGGAAAGTGTTCACATTGGGGTAGTTCAACTTTTTAAAGTATGGTTAAAAGGACATAGTCAATTTAAAAATTAACAGGAGTGGCACGAAACAGCGGCTAGGCCCTGGGGATCCGCATCAACCAAGCACCTAACCTACAGTGAATCATGAATCTTAAATAATCACAATGTGCACTACGTCACATTTTCTAGTTGATTAGAACTTTAAAAAAAAATTCCCTCCAGGATGCTATCCCAGTGTGTCTTCCCATTAAGGTCCATTTTTTAAAAATGCAAATTGCTAAATTGTTAGAGGAATGTGAGCAATCTCCAGTCATGTGGGATTGTGTCTTCCTGTTCCTCATCTGCACGGACCTTGAAACAGCTCTAGCTGGTCTAAAGAGACCCAAGAGCCACCACTTTCCCAGCCCCCCTACCACTATCCTTCTTCATTTTGTGGACTGTACGAACTGATGCAGTGCCTAATCTGGACATGTGACCCATCACACACTTGACTTGTCCATCAAAAGGCACTTACTGTCTCCCCAGAGTCCTTCTGATTGGTAGAAAGCAGCACTTACCTGTTTGACTAGTAATCTATGTATCCCCCCAGATCTTTAGATAGTAGACTATCTGACTTGGCTATGTCACCCAGTAGAATTGTTACCATCTGGGCTTCCAAGACAACTGGATTCAAACTCTGGTTCTGTCACTTAGCTGTGACTTTGAGCAAATTACTTATACCTACTGAGCCTCAGTTTCTCCATCTGCTGCAAAAATCTGATCACACAGGATGTTGTGAAGACTAAGACGCTCTGTGGGCCGGGTGCAGTGACTCAGGCCTGGATACCAGCACTTTGGAAGGCCAAGGTAGACACTCCAGATCCTGAGGTCAGGAGTTCAAGATCAGTCTGGCCAACATGGAGAAACCGCTTCTTTTCTAAAAATACAAAATTAGCTGGGCGTGGTGCTGTATGCCTGTAATCCCAGCTACTCAGGAGGCTGAGGCAGGAGAATTGCTAGAACCTGGGATGCAGAGGTTGTGGTGAGCTGAGATCGCGCCATTGTACTCCAGCCTGGGCAACAAAAGCAAAACTCCATCTAAAAATAAAAATGAAAAAAAAAAAAGATGTGGAAAGCTTCAGTGTACCTGCCGTAAAGTTTGTGTTACAAAGTGATTGTAAGTTGCTTACTTTAAGGAAGCAATGCATAGTTTGAACAACTTTTGCTTTCTTCATTGCTTCTGGAGATAACTAATCAACTGTGACCTGTTCTTCTAGGGAGAAATGTCTTATCTTCAACCTATGGTTTATATTTCTTGTCTCAAATTGTGCAGTGGGGTAACAGGTTTCATTATTCATCTCTGAAATTTCACAAAAGGATAACAGATTCTGTTTCTGCGGTTTGTATACTCATATTTGCCTTCATAGAGTTTTTAATGGCCCTGTGAGGCAGATTATTTTGATGTCCTAAATTGACAGGCGAAGGGACGGAGGGGTGCTTGCTGTGAAGGTACTACTGAAGGCCACCCTGTGCTGTACAGAAGAAGAAAAAAGCTGAGACTCTTGTTTTCCTGGGTCCCGGGGCCAGAAGAGGGATACAAGGCCAACATACATCTTTCTGAATAGAGATGTCCTGATGGACAGGCCCAGTCTTTTGGTAGATGAGCCGAAACTTTGACACCCATTGTTTTGAATAGCAAACAGAAAGCTCCAGGTTCAGAACTAAAATCTGAAAGTTGATTCATCACCTGGATTGATGAGGTCGTAGCCAATGGAGAAAACTCAGCACGAATAATTGTTCATTTTCATCCATCGTAGATTCAGGAGCCTAAAGGCTGGCTGCTCCTTGCAAAAATGTTTAATATCAGTAAATTATCTATCAGCACATGCTGGAAATAAAATGCTGACACCCCTCTTTGGTAGGCTCAGGGGCCTGTTTGTGGACCTTCTAAAGTATTTCTCCAAATGAAACAATGAAAAAGTTATCTATGTTATTCATGTCTTGCCTTTATTCTAGGTAATACCTATTTGCTGGTAGAAAGGGTAATATTGGTGTTACAGAAATCTTAAGTGTTTGGAAAGTAGAATTTTTAAAGACATTTCTACGTTTGTTCCTCAAATATTAAAAGACTTAGGGGATAAAAGGAGTCTTGTGGCTAATGTGGTCTTAAGAATAAAAATTATTTTAACTTAGCTTTCACATGGCATTCAAAGCCTTCCAAACTTATCTTTCCAATCTAATCTCTGTTCCCCCCTTTCACAGATGCAACCCTCTTTCACTGTGGCCTATGCTCTTGGGCCTGGCAGTACTGGATTCTGCCATTCCTTCCTGCTTCCCATCCTACATACTATAAAGGTTCAACTAGAATGAACCTTTTCTGGAACGTCTTCCCTGATTGCCAAGCCAGAAAATAGCTCTTCTGCTGAATGTCTCTAGTCCATCTACTATACCTCTCGATGGGCAAATCTTGTGCTCTGTCTTGTTTTAACGGTACTTTTCGTATATATTTCATGTCCCTAGTCCATTAATAGTGGGCCTGACACAGTGGCTCATGCCTGTAATCCCAGTGGCTCAATAAGTTGAGGTGGGAGGATCCCTTGAGGCCAGGAGTTTAAGACCATCCTGATCAACATGGTGAGACCTCATCTCTAAAATCATAAAAAAAAAAAAAAAAATTTGCCAGGTGTGGTTGTAAACCTGTAGTCCTAGCTACTTGGGAGGCTGACGGGGGAGAACTGCTTGAGTCCAGGAGTTCAAGGATGCCGTGAGCTGTAATGGGGGCAGGATCCTCATTTGCCCAGCCCCTGTACTGTCACCATACTTTGCATACAATAGTTGCTCAGTGGATGTTGTTCAGTCGTTCACTCACTGAATAAATGAGCAAGTTAAGGACATCTATACATCTCTCCTATGCCGGTTACTTTACACCTCAGTAGCTGTCACCACTGAGCTATAAGACAATGAGTAACACATCTGCAGCACAAAAAGAACTTGATACTCATGTAAGGATACTCCCTTTGCTCTGAACAAAAAAGACTGAAATGGTGAAACATAGGAATAAAATTTTGATGGAGTAAATATTTGCAATCCCCACCCCACCCTCCATCGCCAGCTGTTACAACTCACATGATTTATTGTTTGCAGGGTAGCTCTTATGGTGGTGTCATTTGTTTATTTTGTTTCACCATTCTTTTGAAGTTTAAAAGCAGACAAGAAAACACTGCAGGGTGAATGTGGCTGTCGCGGTAGGAGCTGTGCTCCCTCACTGCAGGCACTCTGAGGTGTTTCTTAGTGAAGGTCATCATTCCCTTTCCCCGTGCTAAACACAGAATGAAATACTGTATTTCTTACTTTCAAGATTAATCCAGTGGTCCGCATTCACAGGAGAATAGTGCGGCTATTTGTCAACTAGCTTTAAATATTTTATGGCAAATACTCTACCGTACCCTGAAAGTGGTCCTTTGGCCATCATTTTCTCAACATCAGTATGCTCTTTTGCTGTAGTGAAAAATATTTTGCTCTGTAGTTTCAGCCCTATTTCAAATACAAAGACACCTAGTCCCGAGAAAGAGAACGCATTGGCTCCTCTGAGGCAGGCATCCCTAGGGGCAGGAGCCGAGAAACCCGCTGTTTCCTCCGCAGGTGCTCAGACAGTCCAGGATGGGCTGCTGAGCGGGCAGCTCAGACGCCGCAGGTAGCGGCCCTGCCTTTGAACAAAGAGGAGTCCACACCTGGGGTGCAGACAAAGGGAGGCTGCCTCTGCTACCCAATTCCCATTTCACAACGCCTGCTGCTGGGGACCCCTAGTGGCGGCACACGATGCAGGCACAGGTATTTCTGCATCGTCGTTCTCACTGAGCTGCAGGGGGGCCCAGGGGTATTGCCTTCGGTATCCACTTTGGCCACTTAGCTTGGGCGGATCAGACCGGCACATGCAGACACTTAAGCCATGCCATCAGCTACAGCCTCTTTGACTAGAAGACAGAGAGGGAGGAGAGAGAGAGAGATTTTCTTTCTGTTTGAAGAGAAAAACTGGATAGCATTCAGAAACTCATTGAATATGTTTTCTTCTGCATGTTGCACCTTCTGGCTTTGTTCCCTGACATTTTAGATTACAAACATCTTTTCTGTCCTCCATGTCCTAAGAGAAATCTAGGATAAACTAAAGTGAAGCCAGCTGCAAGCCTGCTCTGGGCAAAAGCATGGAGTGAGTTTGTTTTTCATGCCTTCTGGGTGGGGGATTTTCTATGGCTTTATGCTCTTTTTCTATGAAAATTTGCTTTCATAAAGGTATCCAGTATATTTATTCTCTGGTACCTGTTCATTTACTCAAGCATTCGTTAATTCATTCATTCATGTTGATTAAGCACTCATTATGTGCCAGGGAGTATAGGAGACCTTGGGAATAAAGGTATAAAGAAAACTGGCGGGTGCTATCACTGGCACCTGTAATCCCAGGACTTTGGGAGGCCAAGGCAGGCGGATCATTTAAGGTCAGGAGTTCGAGACCAGCCTGACCAAAGTGGTGAAACCCTGTCTCTACTACAAATATAAAAATTAGCCAGGCATGATGGTGGGTGCTTGTAATATCAGCTACTCAGGAGGTTGAGACAGGAGAATCGCTTGAACCTGGAGGCAGAGGTTGCAGTGAGCCAAGATTGTGCCACTGCACTCCAGCCTGGGCAACAGAGCGAGACTCTCTCAAAAAAAAAAAAAAAAAAAGAAGAAGAAGAAAACTATATTCTTTCTATGGGGGATCCTACAAAACCTCCACGCCTTCCTGTGACATTTACATTTCAACTGGGCCAAAGTTTTTAAAATAGCTGCAGAAATGATCTCCATTTGGGAATTACGGGTATTATCCATGCTGGTGACAACTCTTTCTCCAGCAGGTTTTTTTTTGGTGTTGTTGTTAACGAAACGTCCAAAATCAAGCCTCAAAGCCTATTTCTAGACAGCTGGCATTTTCTCATCCACAGTTTTAACTGGTCAGCCCAGAAAACCTAGCAGACACTGTACTCTGAATGTTCTCTGCCTTCACTCCCCAAGAAAATCTGAATCAATATTTTCATTTCTTTCCCTGTAGCAGCTATATGTTCAATAACAAAACAGAAATCCTCTTTTTTTTTTTTTTTAAGAAGGGGGAGTAAATGGGCATTGAAGGAAAGCTAACAGACACAATATCTGAGCCAGTCTTCCGATACAGAATACAGATTTTGGCCTTTCACAAATATTCCAGGTGGTTTGTAAGACAAAGCATGAAAAAATGATTCCAGGGAAGTTTAATGTGTATCTATCGAGTCA